GGGCACCATTCCTTCCCCTTACGTCCCATCCCAAATCCTTATCCTGAGCCCTTCCCAGTGCTATATAGTGGTAATGGCTTAGCGCTGATCTTGACCCTGATCACGAAGGCTCAGTGTGCATTAACAGTTTTAATTAAGAGCTTGGAAGCTTTCCAGCGCCGTAGTTATTGGCATAGATGCTCTCTTTGACCTTCGGGGCTCATACACTGTTTATTAAATGTAAACTGAGTCCCCCCTTGTGTCGGTGTGTATACCGGCGTCACCACTAGTATTTCCTCCCCCCGCTTTGTTGGTGTTTATATAGATCTGTGTTACCACAAATATTCCTGCCCCTCTTCTGTTATAATTGCCGCGGCATGATCTGAGCTCTATATTGCCCTTACAAAATGAATTTCCTCAAATACCCAGTACATGCGTATCACTACCTTCCCCCCCCCTCCCCACGACCTCTCCCCTCCCCACGACCTCCCCACAACCTTCCCCATCTACCTACCCCCCCTCATCTCCGCCTCCTCTTCGCAGTTTCACGCTTCGTATTAATTAAAATCCACCGAGAAAAATATGGCTCGTGGTTGCATTAATTTGATTTCGGAAATTGCAGTTATACTTCAGGTTGAGAAGCTTCCTGGTGGGACCCCGTGCCTCAACTGTGGCACGGAGACCCTTGCTTTCTCTCCCCTCTCCCCCCTTTCTCTCCCCTCTCCCTCTTTCTCTCCCCCTTTCTCTCTCCTCTCCCCCTTTTTCTCCCCCTTTCTCTCCTCTCTCCCCCTTTCTCTCCCCTCTCCCCCTTTCTCTCCCCTCTCCCCCTTTCTCTCCCCTCTCCCCCTTTCTCTCCCCCTTTCTCTCCCTCTTTCTCTCCCCCCTCTCCCTTCTCCCCTTTGCTCTCAGTGCATTACAATTATTGTCCACAGTATAGGGAACGAGTGGACAATAATTCCATACGTTCATTCGACTCGTTAATTTATTTTTACTCTTCCAGCCTCTATGTCCTCTTGTCCTGTGTTCTTAGTTATTAAGGAAGGTTGTCCATCGTGTCTATTGCCTTCAGTATCGTATATGTCGTGATCATATACTCTGTTCCTGGTCTCTTCTAGGGTTGAGAGACTATCCTAAGCCTCATTGTTTAGTCTTCTTAATTGGTGCAAGCCTTAATTGATGGAAAGCCTTGTTGCAAGCTCCTGCACTTATTAGCAGTGTTTTAGAACGCAGTTTCAGCTCCTGGGTTCCACTCCCTGCTTGCCGTGCTATATAGTCTCGTGTAAGTGGATGTAGCCTCTGTTGTTATATACCAATTCATTGCAATTGCAGACCTACACTAAAGAAATACTTCGTTACGTGCGTTACGTTACGTTGCAACCCGTGTGCCGCTCTTGTTACTGTTGCTGTTACCACCATAAACATTGGTTCACGTGGGTGGTGGTTCACCACCATGATCACAGTCACCACCACTCCCTCGTTGCTACTAGCACTAGCACTAGCATCCCTGCAGAGTAACAACCTCCCCTCCTTACACGCTGCCATCTCCTCCCTCTTGGACACCATCCCCCATCCTTTCTCTGATGCTCCCACCAACCTCCGCCACCAATCCCCCGCCACCAATCCCCCACCACCAATCCCCCACCACCAATCCCCCGCCACCAATCCCCCACCACGACTCCCCACCACAAGTCAGCATCCACACAAGAGAGAAGCCCTTAATCCTTCCCCCACAAGACAAGACAAAGACAAACAACCGTGTACAGTTGGTCGATAGCTTAACGTACTCTCATTAACACCTTAGTCCTTATAAGCATTAAGTTAATCCCCCTTCTGTCTTTGTGGCTCGTCTGGTCAGCGGTTTCTGGCCATGTTTTGCTCATTAAATAGAAAGGACGGACAGAGAGGTTCAGGTGGAGCTGGCAACAATGGTGGCAGTGGTGGTGGCACTGACTGGTGGTGGTGGCAGTGACAGTGGCAACGGTTTTATTAATAATAATAATAATAATAATAATAATAATAATAATAATAATAATAATAATAATTTCTACCACAGACGTGGCCACACATTTACAATGCTAACCAGCATATATACATTTTCTTCTGTCCTCCATGGACAGGGTTCGAGATGTGTTAAACATATAGTTCAAGGGTTTATTGATTAACCACAGAAGGTGATTCGGTGCTTTTAAAATGCTAAGCTAACCTACATACGTAAATACATAGATACACAGATTTACGTATGCCCTACATAAAGTGTTCGATGTGTCTTTTACATAGTGTCATTAATGTGCATTTACAAATGTGAAATGTAATTCTATTCAGCTTCCATATATACTTTATACACATACATATACATACACACACATACGTACATATACGAGAGGGAGGGAGGGAGGGAGGGAGGGAGGGAGGGAGGGAGAGAAGGAACGAGAGGGAGGGAAGGAACGAGAGCCAAGAGAGAGATACTAGCAGCTACGGTACACGAACAGCAGTTTTTTTTTTTTTTTTTTTTTTTTTCTACCACAGACGTGGCCACACATTTACAATGCTAACCAGAATATATACATTTTCTTCTGTCCTCCATGGACAGGGTTAGAGAAGTGTTAAACATACAGTTCAAGGGTTTATTGAACACTCAACCACAGAAGGTGATTCGGTGCTTTTAAAATGCTAAGCTAACCTACATACGTAAATACAAAGATACACAGATTTACGTACGCCCTACATAAAGTATTAGATGTGTCTTTTACATAGTGTCATTAATGTACATTCACAAAGGTGAAATGTAATTCTGATCAGCTTCCATATTTGCTTTATACCCATACATATACATACACACACACACATACACATACATATATACACACATACATGCATTCACATACATTTGTCTCATTTACCCTGACAGGGTGAGGTAGCTGATAAAGAAACTAGTGTGCAATTAAGCACTTAATCACTGAAGGTGATGAAGGTGCTTTTACAAGCTCAGGTTATATAGTTACATCACATACATACATTGTATGATTGATACATTACATGGTCAATTTTGGATACAAGTCCAATATATCATCAAGTGTTCCAGTACTCATATAGTAACTACAGAGTTCAGCATACCTTAGCCCAGGAGGGCGAAAGTCAGTCAGTATGGGACATTCTACAATATAATGTTCAAGAGAGTGCATGTTTTCTCTTTCACAAAGTTGACACATTGTGTACTCGACATTTGGGTTTTGAGAAAGCTGCCAGATACGTCTATATCCCAGGCGTATTCTGGCCACTATAACATCACATTGCCGGGTTCTTGTTCTATTAGTCCCATATGTGAATGTCTCCTCACGATATCTATCATAATATTTAATGCTACAACTTTCAGGTCTTTGAGAATTTGTTAGGTCGGTGAGATTTTCATTAGATATTTGTTTAAGTATTCTCTTTGTCACTGCTAATGAAACACCCATATCAATTTCTACCACTGGTTTTCTGCAAGCTGACTTAGCAAGCATATCAACAGTGTCATGCCTTGAGATGCCAACAT